TGAATATTATATTGATATTAATCAATATTTAATATTATATTAATATTATTTTCATAATTATACGAATAATTTTAATAGTCAGAGGAACAATAGTCATATTTTTGCGTATAACCAGATTAATTAATAATCATTATGATAAAAATGATCAATTTTAATTTAGATTAGAATTCATGAAATATTCCTCTTTGTAATTGTACAAATAATTTTAATAATATTCTCATTCAAAAAATCTACATTTACTTTTATGCAACAAATTATTGCAATTATTGTATCCTTTCAATTCGTTATATTTTAATAATAATAATAATTATTATTAAAAAATAATAATTAATAATAATAATAAAATAATAACAATAATAATAATAATAATTATTATTATTATTATATATATAATATTCACGACCGACTTCGCCGATATTTTCGGAACAGGTGGATACGATCTCGGCTTCAAAACGGAGGAGTCCGATCCCGACGACTACATGGAAGCGGAAACCCTGAAGGATCAGTATTTAGAATACCTGGCGGAATTCCCGTCTATAGTGTCGATCGAGGACCCGTTCGACCAGGAGGACTGGGAAGGCTGGCTGACGATAGCCGACCAGGACATCCAGATCGTCGCCGACGATCTGACGGCGATGAACATCGAACGGATCGAGGAGGCGATTGAAAGGCAAATGGCGAACGCCATTATACTGCGTATGTCGCAGGTCGGAACGGTGACGGAGGCGATCAACTGCGCGAAGATAGCGAGGATCAGCGACTGGGGTTATATCGTGACGGCCTGCCAGGCGGAGACGGAGGACAATTTCGTTTCGGATCTGGCGGTCGGATTGTCCGCCGGCCAATTCAAAGCCGGCGCGCCTTGCAGGTCCGAGAGGACTGCCAAGTATAATCAACTGTTGAGAATCGAGGAGGAACTTGGAAAGGACGCGAAATACGCCGGACGAAATTACAGGAATCCGTTGGCTAAATAGTACCCGGTTAGTTCTACGGGGTGTCCCGTAATTGTGTTAACAGCTAGAAGGGAGCGATTCCTGAGGTCATTTAAGCAACTTTTTCCTTAGCGAAAATGTTCTACGAGGCTTCGTTTACGAGTTAGTAACGAAAAACGCTGGCCAATCAGAGGCGAGCACGGTTGACGCTCCGCCCTTGCGACCACTGCCGCTGCGTCAGACGGACGGCGCGACGCGGCATTGGCCGCAAGGGCGGAGCGCCGGCCGCACGAGCTCGTCTCTCATTGGCCAGTGTTTTTCGTTAATAACTCGCGAACGAAGCCGCGGATCGCATTTTCGCTAAGGAAAAAGTCACTTGAAATGACCTCAGGAATCACCCCTTTCTGGGTGTTAATATAATTATTATTCTGTATAGTTACAAGCTGCGAGTTATGCGCTTTCACTTTTTCGAAATATTGTTGCTCGACGCGTCGTTTGTTGATCAGGCCCCGGCACAATTAAAGCGGCATTATTTGGAATGTTATTTGAAATAACATATTGCTTCGTTTCATAATTATTTTCATGTAATTACTTCTGAAATTGAATTGCTTGAAATATTATTTATAGTAACATATTATTTTATTTAATAACATTATCTGAAATGTTATCTGGAGTCACATATTTTTTAATTTTATAATTATTGCGATTACTTTTGAGAGATTGGAAATATTATTTGTAATAATTTGTTATTTTATTGCATGAGTATTTTTGTGTGTGTGCCTGTAATTACTTCAGAAATTAGATTTCTTGAGATATTATCTGAAGCAGTATATTATTTTATTTTATAATATTGTTATTAAATGTTATTTCAAATATTATTTGATATAATATTTTAAATTTTATTTGGTAGAATAATTCAAATATTATTTGCCATAATATTTCAAAAATATTATTCGATATAATACTTCAAATATTATTTGATATAATACTTCAAATATCATTTGATATAATTACTTTCACCGATCTCATAATTGCTCAGAACAATAATCTGAGATAATTCTGAAATTCTTCTTAGAAATGCTGATCTAATTACGAGCTCTGGGTCTTCGTTACACTGAGATACTCATCGACAATTCCGCAAAACAAAAGAGGACCGATCTGACTGCGTTAAAAGATTATCCGACAATTGAGCGAACATTTTTCTGCAGAATAATAAAAGTCACTCCAGCATGAACTTATTAATGAAAAAGTTTTGCTGTTGCAAATTTCTTTCTGTTGCATACTATCCATCAATTAAATTGCACGATTTTGTAAATCGTATATTCTATGGCTGAATTAATGCACGAACTTAGATTTCGAAAAATCGTGACACGTTCACGACCGTAGAAATGATCCGCGACAAGGAATCAACCGATCCTGAGCGAGCTGATTTTCCGATATTTGATTACTTGGCTTCGCTTACCGTCGCCGGTGCAGTAATAGCCGTGGAATCGGTCGAAGTACGTATTCTGGAAGCGTTGGTGATTTCCGTAAAGGGATCTCATCATTCCTGGCCACGGCTGACGGAAGACGAGGTATCCCTCTCCTTCACCTTCGATCAATCGACCGTCCTCGTCCAAAAGTTCCGGCAACACTCCGAAGAAGGGGAACGTCTGTTCAGAGAACATGTGCAAACACGTGTCACAGATTATGTGTATATTCGACGATCCCCTTCGCTAGACTCTCTTATCGAGCATCAATTTTCCAAACAATCGTGTGTTCCTAGCGCGCTGCTCCATTTCATTTCGAACCCTGATCCGATAATAACAAAGTAATTTATCATTGCTACAAAAATCACAGCTTTCTAACAGTTTTAAGAAAATATTTTACACGCGGTACAATTTTCTTTTCTTTTTAAAAAAGGAAAACATCTGTTCGCTCCTCGATTCCTTGCTTCTTAAAAATTTCTATGCAATTAACGTTCACGATAAACATTGTACTTGAAAGTTTTCCGTCAAAGCTACCCCATATTTTGTCTATAACGATGTAACATTCTTCTGATTTCTTTTTCATTCTCGTGTACACAAATATTGTCCAAAGTAAACACTAAAGTTATTAGTACTGATCAGAAGAGGAATATTAATATTTATACTACTAATAATATTAATACTACTACTAATAGTAGTATTATGATAATATTATTAGTATTAATATTACTAGTATTTTTTAATATTATTAATATTAATATTATCAGTATTTATATTATTAGTATTAATATTATTAGTATTAATATTATTAGTATTAATATTATTAGTATTAATATATTATTAGTATTAATATTATTAATATTAATACTAATGATAGTACTAACAATATTATTATAATATTATTATGTATGCATCGTTCTAGTGTCTCGAGGGACGTTTCTTTCTTTTACAAGAACACATTGTAGAAAGATGAACAAAAGCCTGTTTAAAGTTCAGAGCTAGTTATAGTTGATATTATCAGAAGAAGCTGCTCTGCGAGCCACAGAACCAAGAACGACGAAGCATTCGCACATCAACAAATCGAAACTTCAACTCACTGCAGATCCTGGTTTCATGGGCGTAGCACCGGGCAAAGGAGTGATCACGTGACCTCCGGTCTCCGTTTGCCAGAACGTGTCCGCTATGCTACACTTTCCGTGACCAACGAGATTGTAGAACCAGAGCCAAGCTTCGGGGTTAATTGGCTCTCCAACAGAGCCCAGCACCTGCAAACAAAACCATTTCTTAGAACAGAATTATATCATTATCGCTATAAAGAAAACCATTTCGTGCGCTACGACGATGACTACGAACTTCTCTTTTTTTTTTGCACTAAACACGCGTCCCAAGAACATAAAGATTTTTATATAGTGCATAATATTGTTTTTATTCTGTACCCTCCGGTGCAATCGTTATTCGCGAACAAAAAATTTTCCACTGCTTACTTTTACACGATTATGGTGCAAATTTTTAGTATTCGAGTTTTTGAGGTGCAAGTTTTTGGAATTCGATTTTTTGAGATGCAAGATTTTTAGTATTTGAGTTTTTGAAATGGAAGTTTTTAGAATTCGAGTTTTTGAGGTACAAGTTTTTGGAATTCGATTTTTTGAGATGCAAGATTTTTAGTATTCGAGTTTTTGAGACGCAAGATTTTTAGTATTCGAGTTTTTGAGGTACAAGTTTTTGGAATTCGAGTTTTTGAGATGCAAGTTTTTAGAATTCGAGTTTTTGAGATGCAAGATTTTTAGAATTCGAGTTTTCGAGATGCAAGCTTTTAGAATTCGAGTTTTTGAGTTGCAAGATTTTTAGAATTCGACTTTTTGAGATGCAAATTTTTAGAATTCGACTTTTTACTGTTACATTTCATTTCCGCATTTTATTTTGAAGATTAAATATTCTTGCAAGCAAGACATCAAGTTCTAACAAAGAAAACGACGTTCTAAAATGTTCAAATTTTATTCTGAAATTTGTTGTGTCTCAATGGCATTGCTGATCTTCGTGTTACAGCCGTTTCAAAACTGTATGACATACTGTGTCGCAAAGTACAAGTTCACGAATCGCCGATAAACCGTGCATATTAACAGAAATGAATTGTATTACTGTTGCAGGTTCGTCACAACGAGTATTTTAGCTGTCGCAAGAAATCTTTTTCTTCTTCCGATTTTTCTAAAAGGATGCATGAAAATGATGATTCGCATAAAAATCTGCAAGCGAGCAATGACGACGCGGTCAACAACTTCGTTTTTGTTTCTTTTTTTTTTAAATTGATCTGTCAGCGAATTCTGACTTACCTTTAAGGAGGATAAATTATGCTTCTTTACCAGCTCGTCCCCGAACTTCATTAGCGACCTGATCGCAGTCGGCGCAGTGTAGAATTGCGTGACCTTGTATTTGTCGATGACTGACCAATAACGATCGTTGTCCGGATAAAACGGTGTTCCTTCGAACTGCGCATAAAGATTTCAAAGAAGATCAATCACATTTTCTCATTTATATGAAATTGCAACAATTCGACGATGCGGTGGTCGGATATGCACTTTTACCGACAACAATCTTTTTTCTGGTCTTTATAGCGGGGGAAATCTTCAACAAAATCTCCGAAAGCGGCTCTTATTGTTATGAATTACAGAATAATATAATAAATTATAGTATATATTATTATATATATATTATATTATTATTATTATATATATATTAATGTATTGTATAAATACAATGTATCATATAATATACATATGTATATGATACATATTATATATATCATATAAATAATATAATAGTAATAAGCGGCTATTATTATCATATTATTATTATTGTTATTAATAACAATAACAAAAACAATAATACATAATATAATTGTACTAAGTATCAATCGTATTAATTGACTAAGTATAATATTAACTGAATATTAACTGTAAGTATAAACTAAGCATTAATTTGTGACTCGTCGAAATATGATATAATATAATAATATAAAATATAATAATATAATATAATAATCTAAACTATGATAATATAAAATATAATAAACAAATTAAAGCACACGCGAAGAATAAAAAAGAAAGAACAAAGAATAAAATGCCGCCGCCGCCGCTTCATCGTGCAATGTTTGTCAGTAAAAGTAATCGCGTCACGCGTCCCGTAATACCATCGCCCGTATTACGGCTTTTCAACGAAATTGATCGCGACGTCGACTGGAGGAAAGGGAAATTGACTTACGATAACGGAAGTGGCCACGTTCGCCAGGGGACCGTAGACGACGTAAGTGTGGCCGGTGATCCAACCGACGTCAGCAGTGCACCAGTAAACGTCGGTTGGATGATAATCGAAGACGTATTTGAATGTGGTCGCAGCATAAATTAAGTAACCAGCCGTGGTGTGAAGCACGCCCTTCGGTTTTCCCGTGGAGCCGCTGTTTGCGAAGAAAGATAACGCAATCAACGAAACGAACCGCTACAAAAACCAACGCAAACGCGGATAAAATGATTTGGATCAGTGATAATGGCGTAATATGTCGAATTAGAAAGGTTGAATAAATAGATTGTGCTATAATATAATATGTTTCGATTTCTTTAGTACCGTCGATTTTGTTCGGAGAATATATGTATTTTCGTCGAGAATTTTGCATTTTTTTAATGCAGGGCTCCGAGAAAGTTCTAAGGAAAGTTACTTACCTTGTGTACAAGATAAAAAGTGGATCCTCCGCGCCCATCCATACGGGATAACATTTATCCTCGGCTTCCTCCATTTCTTCGTGCCACCATACGTCTCGGTCGTCGTCCCATGGAATCTGTGGTGTAGCCACGCCATTTCCGTCGCTTGTGCCGTTCACGCCGTTTGTCTTTCCTTTTAATTATTAATATAATAAATAATTAATACAATGTAATGTAAATGCAATGTAAATGCAATGTAATGTGATGTAATGTGATGTAATATGATGTAATATAAATGCAACGTAATATGATGTAATGTAAATGTAATATATAATGTAATGTAATGTAATGTAATGTAAATGTAATGTAATGTAATGTAAATGTAATGTAATGTAATGTAAATGTAATGCAATGTAATGTAAATGTAATGTAAATGTAATGTAATATAATTGTAATGCAATGTAATATGAATGTAATGTAACGTAAATGTAAATGTAAATGTAAATGTAAATGTAAATGTAAATGTAAATGTAATGTAAATGTAATGTAAATGTAATGTAATGTAATACAAATGTAATATAAATGTAATGTAAATGTAAATGTAAATGTAATGTAATGTAATGTAATGTAATGTAAATGTTATGTAATGTAATGTAATGTAATGTAATGTAATGTAATGTAATGTAATGTAAATGTAAATGTAAATGTAAATGTAATGCAGTAATATATATTTTGTTAATATAAATTAGTATAATAAATTTCTCCATAAGCAGAAAGTGTAATTTTATCGGCGATATTTTGCTATAGATATACAAGGTGTCCTAAAATTACATAACTTCCAAGAAACGAGGGGTTCTTAAGGTCATTTGACGTAATTTTTTTCCGCGACGGAAATGCAGTCCGCTATTTTGTTTATGAAAAACAATAACCAATGAGAAGCCCGCCTCTCATTGGTCGGTTTTTCGGATCGTTTGGAAAAGAAGCGGCACCGGCGACAGCGTTTAATGGATCGTTTCCGTTTACTTAAAATGTTAGCATACATCATATTTTACGCGGTGGTTGTGAAATCGAACGCTTTGTGTCCGCGACTTCTTTTTTCCCGCGAGCATCGATATCATTCTGGCTTGATTTCTATACGCTGTTACACTTCTAGACACAGATCATTATTTTCCTTAATCATTTTCTAATCATTTCAACGCTCGTTCTACGTATTATTGTTCCGTTTTTTCTTCTTATCTGCATGATGCGTTCTATGCAATTTCGCGTGCATTTGGTTACCTGACAGTTCATAGAGACGTGAATGCCTTTTTCACTCAATTCGAAGCGTCTGTACGATATTTGGGAGCGTCTAAAAATAGGTGACGACGGAACTCACCTTCGCCATGGTGTGCCGTGTGAATTTCAAAACGGCAATACAGTTAGAGAACACCGTTCGATCTATACATATTTCTTATGTAAATAAATGTAAATGGAGAACGTATTCCGCGTTGTGGAAGATGGTTCTCGAATTTCGAGACGCAGGTATGTTATCTTAACGACGCATCGGGATCGTTTCGATAACAACGAATTGTTAAGCTTTAAGCGAGACAGAAGTTATTCCATTGAAAAAGTTGATTGATAGATCGCCCTTGTTGAAAACCAAATCCTCGACGCTTCGATAATTCGGCAGATCTTCGTATATTTGCGGCTTTTGGAAATTTTTCGAAAACACCAGAACGCGAAATTTTCGTTTGCTTTCGATCGGCCAAAAATTCGAAAGTGGATTCCGTGGGAAAAATAAAATTTCTCTGCATTTTTTAATTTCGATAGAATCTCGTTGCTTTGCTTAATAATTTTGATGACTAAAAAAACGATGTAACTGTGTCCTCGGATTCTTTTGATGGCTTTCAGAAATAATGTAACGGAGCTCTCGAATTCTTTAGATATTTTTCACGTTTCATGTATTTCGCGTACTCGTTCTTATCAGAACTTATTTGTTCAATATTCAAGAATGAATTTTCGCGTCGGCATCGGTGGTTTTATCTTCGGAATTGATGACATTTTTATTTTATGAAATTTTATGTTATTATTTTATATTATTTATATATATATTATTTTATATTATTTACATGTGTTATTTTGTATTATTTTATAATATTAATTTGTATGGAATCGACGATTAAACGATTGAGTCGACGCAATTAACCAGTTAGCTGTGTTTGACGAGTATACTCGTCATGGAGAAGTGACAGTATTTTTGTGCCACGACGAGTATATTCGTCACGGAGAAATGGCAGTATTTTGTGGCATGGCGAGTATATTCGTTTTGGAGAAGGGGCTGTAATCTTGGGGCGCGACGAGTATACTCGTCATGGAGAAATTGCAGTATTTTAGAGCGTGACGAGTATAGTCGTCATGGATAAATTACAGTATTTTGGGACACGACGAGTATACTCGTCACGGAGAAATGGCAGTACTTTGTGGCACGATGAGTATACTCGTCACGGAGAAATGGCAATACTTTACGGCATGACGAGTATACTCGTCACGGAGAAATGGGAGTATTTTGTGTCACGGCGAGTATACTCATCACGGAGAAATAGCAATACTTTGTGGCACGACGAGTATACTCGTCACGGAGAAATAGCAATACTTTGTAGCACGACGAGTATACTCGTCACGAAGAAGTGACAGTATTTTGTGCCACGACGAGTATACTCGTCGCCGCTTGATTCTCGCGACGCACATAGGTGCGTGCTCCGAAAAGAAGGCGCCACAGCTAACTGGTTAAACGACACGAGCCATCGCACGACTCAATATAAATACCAGCACCATATTTCACTCACCAGCCGTGTCAGTTTTGCTCCCCTGCGGACTACTGACCCTCCTCAGGTGAGAGACCACGACGCAACACTCGACCACGTGGTCATTCTTCTTGACCTTGTTCAAAGCATCATCGCAGATCGCCTTCAATAGGAGAAGCTTCTCCCCTCTCCACACGCCGTCGGTCGTCACCAGAACTTTTGCCTTCGAGTCCAGAATACGTTCCGCTAGAGAGTCCGACGAATAGCCTGCGAACTGATCGTCCAATATCGCATTAATGGGCAATAGCCCCACCGTATAACAACAAATTTAATTGAGTTATTATTATTTTTTTATGCTTTCATATTATGCGATTCCTTTATTAATAAGAATATACGAATTTTGTTTAATTTAAAACGCAATCAAATTTCTGTGCCCCGAAGAGTTAATCGTTAGATATATTTACCGTTTATTTACAAAAATAACAAAAGACTTTCGGACCTCGAGATATTCTTCACGACCGCGCCGCGAATTTTTATGCAAAATAAACGATCCTCGAGTCAAAGTCGAACCTCTTTACTTGTTTAATCATCTTAATAAATTGCGAATAAAACAAGAGGAAGACGACGATAACAGTATTTTCAAAGATTAAAGCCTGCATTTTCGAATCACAAATTCGACGGGAAATTATTTAAATTTCCAACAGTTTCGTGATTGATACGATGAAAAACGAATTAAGAGAATTCAATTTCCAATCGGACTTCCTTTAATAAACATTTGTAATAAATATGCATTTATGCGGATTTTATACATTTATGGCGAAAACGATCAGCTTACGTATAAAATTGTGAAGACATAAGAGCAATGTAATAATATTGTTACGCTAAAATTACTAATGCAAGCAATTAATTTTTATTTAATTTCAGTTACTTATACAATCGTCTCGAGAGATTTTTATTTTGCACAAAGATCCGCGGTCTAGTAATAAATGATTCTCTAAAATTATAAACAGCGCTGTGTACGATTATTTTACCGATAATAAAAAAATAATTTTCACCAGTGTTCGAGCGAACACAGATACAATGTTTCGTTAAGTTTGTTTAAATGTCGGTAAAAATGTGAAAACTGCTTCGACTCTGTAATTGTTCACGCGGCGAAAGATAGTGACCAATCAGAGAGCGAGTGCGGCTGTCGAGCGGCAGCCGAGTCAACGAGCGGTCGGAGCCCGGTTCCGCTGATTGGCTCGGCCGCCTAGCGCCAGGCGAGCTCGCCTCCCATTGGTCACACTGTTTTTCGTTAATTACTCGTCAACGACGCCTCGGACAAAATTTTTGTAAAGGAAAAAGTTGCTTCAAATGACCTCAGGAACCCGCTATTTCCGTGTGTTAATATAATTATAGGACTGTATATATAATTATGAGACCTGCATATATAGAAAAACTTAAATAATTCTTTTTTAAAACACATATTGATTTTTAATAGAATTATGACCAATATATGTTTTAAAAAATATTATTTAACCTTTCCTATGCATAAATATAGAGCAATAAAATCGTAAATGAGTCAAAATTGACTCGCTCCGGCAATCTAACGTTAACGAACGTTGAACGCATCGAACGATAAATACGAAGAATAAAAAAAATAAATAAAATAAAATACGGTTGTTGTAATAACGGGAAACAATGCTTACCACTACGCTGTGGACGGCGCCGATCCTGGTGCAAGCCAGCATGGCGACTGGCAGCTCCAAGATCATCGGCATGTAAATGGCGACGCGGTCACCCTTCGTCACCCCCTTCGATTTCAGCACGTTCGCGAATCTGCATACCTCCTCTAGCAATTTCTTGTACGTCAGCCGCGAATAATCGTCGGGATCGTTGCCCTCCCTGGAACATCGGTTACATAATCCGTTTAATCTTTCGCCGACCATTTATGAATCGAACCGTTACGAAACGTGTTTACTATCGGTCAAACATTCGACAGCAACAAAAACACGCGTTTCACGTGTGTAATCGCGATCCGTCAACACGCGAAACGGCGATCGATTTTGCGTAACAATGCCGGAACCCGTTGCCGCGATTACGTGAACGCGAATTAAAATTCATCGTCGCCTGTTTTTTCGAATCGTTCGTTGCGCGTATGAAAATAAAGTTATCATTGGAGCCGTTCATTTCGAAAGTGGACCAACTATAAGTCCATTTTTTTATTTGAAAAAAAATGTCGAGCCAGCTATTTTAATATTCTTATATTTTTGCGAGGTTGCATTTACAGTAATTTCTTCCTAATTCGCGCTCAGATTGTGCACAAAAATGGACAATTGGGGAAGAGGAGATACGATTGTTCGAGCCTTGCGGCTCGTTTTTATAGTTATTGATTTTGTCAACAACAATAAAAAAAATTAATCGCACCTTCTTTTCCCAAATAGATACAGTATTAAGTTATTATCAGACTGTGGATCTTTATGGAAAATAAAAATTGTCATCGTCTTTTATATCAAACAGAAAACGAGATAAAAATGTATTTCTTCTTCGAACGACGTTGATGCTGCGATAGCGATGCTGCAGTATTTTTATATTTTTTCCTTTGCCTTCACTGTTCCGTATTTCGTTTATTATATAAAAATATAATATTATAAATTATTATTATAAATATTAATATTATAAATTATTAATGTAAATATTAATATTATAAATAAAATATAACCATTATTATATTTCGACTACGTCAACTTCATGACGTAAAAGACGATCGCAAGTATTTTCCTTCCCTTATTCATTTTAATAAGCGTAAATTAATGCGTCCACATTTGACGATTTCTTTAAATCTCATTTCAATTATTTAAATCGCGTCTGCTCATTTTTTTCCCCTATAAATGCATAAAATCCGCAGTCCAGTTATTATGCAGTTTATCTAGTAACGTCGTTTTCAAGGTCATGCTGTATAAACAATTTATATATCGCAAACTATTTTTAATCGTCGCTTTCTACTCTGTTGCGCTTAATCGATACGAGGAAACGTTAAATGTTACTTTTAACATTTCCATGCAACTTCTTTGATAAACTTTTTTTAAATTCGTTTGCAAACAAATGGCCGCGCGCATCGTTTCGAAGCGTTCGGATGAAAATGATAAAATTTGAAAGAAATTTTTCGAACTATTTTTCGGAACAACTATTAATTTACTATTGAATTTATAGGAAACTTCGATGATTATTACATGGAATGTTATATTATATTATTGTATGGAATATTACAAGATTCAAAACGAATTTACATAAACCGTTTATGTAACTATGTACTTAGTTTATTTTCTTTATCGTAAAAAAAAGGGTTTTTAACCGTATATATAAAATAAATAAAAGAATAAATAAATAAATGAATGAATAAATGTATAAATAAATAAATAAATAAATGAATAAGTAAATAAATAAATAAATAAGTAATTTCTCGGCAGGCGAAGAATTTAACCGTGCCACGCTATTTCACCCCGCTTTCGAAAGCCTAATTATTTTCACGCGAAAGGATAACAAGATTATAGGTAAACAAATAAAATGAGCGTGTCCGGAACGCGTTGTATTCCAGCGGTAGCCAAACGCAGTCCCTGAAAGATCGAGCGTATTTTGTAAAAAGCGTGCAACCGGTAAATGAATCGCGTTGACGTATGTTTTAGTATATTTTTGCATGAACAATTATAGAGAATAGACACGAATTTCCATTTCCACGTAATCATTGTCATCAGAATGGATTGCCATTGTTCATGATCCTCGTGTAAAAGATGAACGTCGATTATTATCTAAAAAGGAAACGCGTGTTACGCGCCGCGTTGCACTTGACGCATGCATGCCGCGTACGTGGTACACTTTTTCCTTTTCTCTCTCTCCCTCTCTCTCTCTCTCTCTCGAAAATCAGCGATCCCGCGCAGTTCGCGAGGTCAAGTACGAAATTATCGCCAGCAGACGTTGTTGCGACTGTCCCTGCGATTCATCGGAATCTATCGGACGTTGCCGTGAGTCGCGTGATTTCGATCGTACGACCGTAGAGAGAGGGGGGAGGCGAGAGGAAGAGAGGGAAAGAGAGAGAGAGATCGTAATGACGAGACGTTATGTTATATAAAGATAACGAGATAGTACAACGCTTACAAAATGGTCCGATACCGCACGCGAACAAACATCGCCGAACAGAACTGGTATTCATTGCCACGATTCGGTATGTAACGATATATGTAACGATATACAGGGTATCCCAAAAAAGTCACGCAATCCGAAAGTGGCGGGTCCCTCAGGCCATTTGAAGCAACTTTTTCCTTTGCAAAAATTTTCTCCGAGGCACCGTTAACGAGTTATTAACGAAAAACAGTGACCAATGAGAGGCGAGCTCATTTCGTGCGCTGGTTGGCTGGGCCGCCTCGCATCAGCCGTACTCGATTCTTATTGGTCACTGTTTTTCGTTAATAACTCGTTAACGGTGCCTCGGAGAACATTTTCGTAAAGAAAGAAGTTGCTTCAAATGATCCGAGGAACCCGCCATTTCCGTATTGCGAGACATTTTTGGGACACCCTGTAGTTACATAGTACGGTAAAGCACCGCGGTAATATACACACATAGTAAAAAACTATGCGTCGAAGGTGTTAGTAAATAATATTTGAGGATCAATGATAGTGACAGTATACGACGATTTTTTATCAGAGCAATGATTACTTCATCTAAAAATAACGCTGAAATATAAATGCCAAAATACCATGCATAAATACCGAAATATAAACGCTTTTCGAATCAGTGTTCACAGCTGCCATTACCAGCTGTCACAGTTACTTATTTTATGACTCAACGTTTGTATAAGCTTCCGAATTTCAAAAGTCAATAAATGTATTAAAACTACGATTTCTGTTACTTGCATAGTCATAAATATAATATAAATAATATAAATATATAATATAATATAAATATTGAACACATAAAAATTATGAGATTCATTTTTAGAAGATTACGATATTTTTATAAAATACCACAGTATTTTATATTTGCATTTTACAGACTCGGTTGAATTAACCGTTAAATTATTCCAGGATAAATCTTTATGAATGTAGTTATTACATGAATAAAAAAAGGAAGTAATTATTTTCTACCAAGATATAGCATCAAGATAGCATTATTATTATTATGTCTATTTTTACTCGCGAATGTACATTCGTCTATTTTCACTTCTGAATGCAAGTTTGCCTATTTTTATCTGCGAGTGTACATTTCTCATATCTTGTTTTCTCTGTGAATTTACAATTTTTAACTCTGTTCATCGATCGTCGTACATTTCTCTGCTTTCGTTTGTCCAAAACAAGCCCGTACCAGGATATTATATAAATTACGTTTCATCGAAGATGAGCGTAGGTCGAATCGCGTAAGCAGCGAACGTAAGTTGATATCGGATCGTTGACTTAACATCAAACATTGTCGCGATGCACGTGCAATGGAAATTAATGCAAACAAGTAGAAGATACATTCGCGATCGATGGGAGAAAGTTCGAGTTACACTTTAACGAAGCAAAATGCTTGATTACGGTACTTCAACATGATCAAACGATTTTAGCTGTTCTATTGTAAGAAATCAACAATAAGAATAATTGTTGAACAATTCTTTCGCGAGCGTATAGTCGAATGCCACGAAACGCGTCATACCATTGTAATAATGTTAAAAGATAAGACTAATTAATAACAATTACTACGTTATTCTATCACTAATCTGTCGACTTAATAATTCGCGTCATAACATTGTAATAATATTAAAAAAGCAAGAATAATTAATAACAATTACATGCTATGTTATTGTATCGCTAATCGGCCGATTTAATACTTCTTTCGCGAGGGTATAGTCTAATGCCATAAAATGCGTCATACCATTGTAATAATATTAAAAAAACAAGAATAATTAATAACAATAACTATATTATTGTATCGCTAATCTGTCGACTTAATAATTTTTTATAGTCGAATGCAACGAAACGCGTCATACCATTGTAATAATAAAGAATAGACTAATTAAGATTTAATTAAAGATAAGACTAATTAATAACAATTACTACGTTATTGTATCGCTACTCTGTCGACTGAATAATTCTTTCGCGAGCGTATAGTCTAATGGCACAAAATGCGTCATACCATTGTAATAATATTAATAAACAAGAATAATTAATAACAATTACTACATTATTGTATCGCTAATCTACCGACTTAATAATTCTTTCGCGAGCGTATAGTCTAATGTCACAAAATGCATCATACCATTGTAATAATATTAAATATTTTTCGCTCGATTCGTGCAGCAAATCGAAGATATTTTTCCATCGCGTCGAGCGATTTGATAATATAATAACACGCGCGTTGCCGTCTGTATTGTAATTAATTTCCAACGCGACGAGCGCGTTTCTAGAAACCTAGGCCGGCGGCCACGTGACGTAACGTCGTCGATCGGACCACGTGGACCTGACCAATCGACGCGACCACGACGACAATGTGCCGAATTTTCGACGAATCATCGGCCGATCGTACGATGCGTAGACGTAGACGCGCGAGCGACCGTGAACGAGCGTCTCATATTTTCGTCTAGCAAACGGAACGGAATTCTGCTAAAAACTTTACGCTTTTTTCCCCCGTTGTTCCGTTACGCGGAGATTATGGTGCCCTGTTCTAAAATTAAAGCGACTCATGGCCGAGTTCAGAAAATCTTATTTTTTATTTGCAAGAGTGAAATGTTATTTTTTACTTGGAAAAACTAAAACTAAAACTAAAATTAAAGCGACGCACTGCCGAGTTCAGAAAATCTTATTTGAAATAATGAATAACAATGCGCAAATTAATGTTTCATTTGCAAACGATAATTAAATATTCCATTTTACTGAGAAATCGTACGAATAATTCCACAAGTTTTCTTATTTGCAAGTGAAATGTTATATTTTACTTGGATATTAGGAAAAGACGAATAACGAATAATGTTTGCTTCTCTCTCTCGTCTGTTGTACGTTATGCAATGGATAATTCGTACACTAGTTTCGCAAATAAAATGCAATTTTACAATTTTCCAAATTTACGTGAAAAGCAAGTAACGAGCAATTCTTGTATTGCTTTTTTCATTCATCGTGCGCTGTTCGTTTCGAAGAAAACACTGCGATGATATTGTTTATTAACTTTATCCGCGAGTGAACCACAATTTTTAATAATTTTTTTAATTAATTTAATTGTTTAAAACTCAGAATTTTCTTGCTCTATTTTCAACTTATTGGAACTGTATCGAAGAATAAAGTACGATCTTCGTTCGACCTTTCTTTTCTGTAAGTCGACGCAAACGATTCCAATTTTGCCTAAAAAAACATACAATTCGATTGGCAAATTATTTGTCCTTACCAGTAGAACGCGATCTTGTCGCCGTTCCCGGTCTTCACGTTCTTGTCGAGCAGATTGAAACTGATATTCGTCGAGGCGCCCTCCATCCATTTCACGAAGATCTCACCCTTGCTCAGGTGGAAGTTGTACGAGAAGAACTTCTCGTCGATCGCCGGCGTCTCCCAATAAAATTGTTTCGCTATCTCGCCCCAGAACTGCGCCGGATCCTTTATGGATCTGAAACGAGTACAAGCGCGTGCGTTCAACGACTAGTTACTGACACACACACACACACACGCGCGCGCGCGCGCATTGAGCATCATTTTTCATTACAATTTTTATACTATTTTCATTATACAGCGTGTCCAAAAAATGTCTCGCAATTCGAAAGTGGCGGGTTCCTCAGGTCATTTGAAGCAACTTTTTCCTTTACAAAAATTTTCTCCGAGGCTTCAAATGATCCGAGGAACCCGCCATTTCCGGTTTGCGAGACATTTTTGGGATACCCTGTATATATATATATATAATCTATATTATAAAAGATATACATAATTGTGTCTTATTATTATTTGTGAGTTGTTCTATTAATTATTGATTAAATGCGCTCTCTAATATTGTACGATTTTATTAAAGGTTTTATAATTTTTTTTTTTTTTTTTAGATAGTAATAAGAGTTAAGGAGATATGTCCACATACTTTTGAGCGGCAGTGTACGTACATATACATATGTACAAAGTTCAGGTGAACGAGATAGGCAGAGAGTGTATCTTGTCGCAACCGGGTTGGTAGATCGATAACATTGTTCTATTTCCATGTTGCACGCCTATGGTATTACAGATTCCCAAGATGACAAGACCGAAACTTTTGTACCTTGATTTTATAGAAAACGGTAACCAAAGAAATGACGCGATCCCACTAGATTATGCGAGTTTATTTATGACTTCCATCGTGCTTTTCTCTAAAATTCATTCAGTTATTTTCTCTGAAAAATTTTTCACACATAAGTCTGGATAAATAACCGAAGAACTGAACATTCCACTAAAGCTTGTGTGTATCATTTGCAATGTTCACCGTTTCTAACGATCTACCACAAAAAATTGCAAACAGCTGATTCGAAGCTTGCAGAACATTGTATTAATATCCTACAACCACGTCTGAGAGACGTGGTCAGATAATCGGACCAGAAATGACTATCATATCTGAGAAACGTGGTAAAAAAAATCGGGCCAAAAATGACTATCACATCTGAGAGACGTGGTAAAAAAATCGGGCCAGAAATGAGAGCCGCGGTGCGTTAGTCGGGCCAAATATAAACATAACTAGTTAGGCTCGTGTTACACTAGTGGATACGTGTTTTATGGTTTTTTATTTTTCGTCATTTTTAATTGTTTAGTGAAATTTTTACACGCATATAACTTGCCGAGATCTACGAAACAATTTTTTAAACTTTCGTTGTAGGCTCAGACAAAAAAATAAAAAACTAAGAGCTATTTATTTCCTTTTATCATTCTAAGCAATAGCGACTTTTTAAAAAAGCATTCTAGTTATGGTCTAGTAAACTGGTCGCTCTATCGCTGCAAAAAAATTCAAGTCGTTTAGTCCAGTCGTAAAAAAGTTATCGCGTTTCGAAAAGTATCCGAATATTAGTGGCAGTCGCTGTATTTACATTCCGTAAGAAGTTAGTGATTGGCACAATAACTTCTGACGTTCCGCGCAACCATGAAAGGGTGCTCCACGCGTGACTGATCTTGTTGTTTGCGAGACACGTTCTTGAAACTTGAATCGTAGGGCAAAGGGTTAAGAACGAAGCGCCTACTTTGCTGGATTTTATTATAAGATCAATACCTACGTTGCACACTTAATGACCCGTTGACATTAAGTAGCATTTCCGTAAGAAGCAAAAATAAGACTCCACCGCGAACAATATAAATTCTCGGTGGCCTAGATACGGAGCTTCATTTTCGAAAGCTATCCAGGCACGAGACGCGTCCCAGAATTAATGTAATACCCTGACCGATGCCCCCCACCACCCCCCGCTTGCTGCCCGCCTAACGATTCTCCCTTATGAAATCATTAACGAGCAACGAGGGAATGCGCTTAACACGTTCGCGGACGTGAATGCCACGGCATTCGAATTTATGAGCCACATTATCATGCGTTCGATTTGTATATAGCGTTTAGTTTTCGAAATTATTAGACGCTTTAACGCTAGAACTACCAAAAATGTCAGTTGTCAAAATGACTGGTTCTCGAACTTTTTTTTTCTTTTACATTTGCATGACATTTTCGAAATGTTTCCAGAACTAATCTTGTGCATAATCTTTTCTTCGTTCGAGCGTATATTATGGCAATATTATAACAGAAATAAAATTATGATAATATTATAACAGAAATTATACGAAGTTTAAACAAGTCCGATCTTGTTGTTGTTATAGAACAATGTACGTTGTTATTCTTATTATTATTTGTATTAGTTATTAATTATACGAGCAAGATTCTCTTTAGAGTACAGAGTATAGTAATATGTACAGTGATTTAATTTAAAAATACGCAGTGTGTGTTTTCATTCTATTTTGTCTTTCAATATTTAATATAATAATATTTAATACTATATTTAATATACACGGTGTCCCAAAAATGTCTCGCAATCCGAAAGTGACGGGTTCCTCGGGTCATTCGATGCAACTTTTTCCTTTACAAAAATTTTCTCCGAGGCACCGTTAACGAGTTATTAACGAAAAACTGTGACCAATAAGAATCGAGTACGGCTGGCGCGAGGCGGCCCAGCCAACCAGCGCATGAAGCACAGTTCCGCTCATTGGCTCGGTCTCGCCTCTCATTGGTCACTGTTTTTCGTTAATAACTCGTTAACAGTGACTCGGAGAAAATTTTTGTAAAGGAAGAAGCTGCTTCAAATGATCCGAGGAACCCGCCATTTCCATTTGCGAGACATTTTTGGGACGCCCTGTATATTGTATTTAATATATTATATCTAAAATAATACTGAGCGCTCGGAATAAATACGATCGAACGGGATCAAAAATTTGGACATCGCAATTAGTTTCTGAATAAATCGACGGTCTATTTCGCAGCTGATTAAAATATTTTTACTGTCCGCGAACGTCTTAATAAACGCGCCGGACACTTAGCCCGCGACGATTTCGAAGCTCCCATTGGTCGGTTAACCTCAAGTTAACCGAAAAACCTGTTGTTTACATCGTTTGGTTACGTCGCGTTCAAGGTCGCCGTCGAAACGACCCGCACTGCAATCTCCGTACGGTGGTGTTCGGAAAAAATTGTACATCGATTTCCAATGTAAATTTTATTCAATAATTCCGTTTGCAACGTACAGTCCCTCACGGAACTGTTCCAATGGCACAGCGAGGTTGCGGGGCATGTATGTAGTCGGTTCTATGAAACAACGTGCTACGTGATCACATACTAAACGTCACGGCTCGTCGCGTGATTTATGAAACTCCAATGAAACGCCTGAAACGTTTCAATTCGCTAAATTCTATCGTTTCAATAAAGCATTTTCGGACACAAGTTTATTTCAACATTTTTTCATCCGTTTGATCTGACAATCAGTCCTAAACTTTCTGGACACCCTGTATATTTGTTATGCGTCAATCGATGTGGTTGGTTGGTTCAGAAGTTGATAATAACTTTATTTATCAATCAGATAAACTCCTCGTTTTTTAAATCCGACGTATTTTATTTTATATTTTTATTTTTATTTTGTCCAGTTACGAATTCTGTTCCGAATAGCCATAAACGCGAGACACCGTGGACACGAGAAACGACATAACCGCGAAGATAACTCTTCGATGACCAGCTAATTCGCCTAACCGCTGTTCCATTGACACTCAAGAGTGATGGAACTCCCGAAACTGTGCAAGTCGCCACGGCGATGATTTGCTTTAATTTAGTTTAATTTAATTCAATTTTATATAATTTAATATAATATTTTATACAATTTAATTTCATTAAATTCAAAATATAATCTAATTTAATTTAATTTTATATATAATTTAATCTAATTCGATTCAATATAACCTAATTTAATTTAATTCATATATACCGTTAAAAGACGATTTTTACAAGGAAGAGCTAAAAACAAATATTAATATAACACAGAACGTGCGAATCAGCAGTTTATGTGAACAGTTCGTGCGAACTCGTTTCGAATCTCGTCAATAGGAAGTCGCGCAACAATCGAATGCGAGCGTACGTATCCAAGTAGGTTCTCTATGAAAATTATTGATTGGCGAGGCTCGAGCGCGGAGCCACAGTTTCCGCGGCATCGGGGGTAAGCGATCAGCTGATGCGAAACACGGGCGATCGGCGGACGCCACGGAAGAGGACAGACGGAGGAAACAGGAAGAGCCTGCGCGCGACGATGGAACGCCGAAACAAGCCGAAACCCCGATGGAACCGTGACGACTCGACTGCGGGTCTTTATGCGAAGCAAAAATGTTCCGCAAACTGTTGCAAGAGTCCGGGAACCGCGTGAACGTTTATTTACGTTTCGTACGATTTGTCGAGTTACAACAGTGTCGGTGATCTCGTCGCGTTTCCTCTAATTCGCGAACGCATAAAAATCCGCATTTTAGGGACGATCGTGTGACACACTCACTTCTCGTGCATCTTCTTGTAACGATTGAAGCTGTCGCAGTGGGAGTTCTTCGAGAGCTCGGTGTTCGGATAGTAGATGTCGTTCACCATTTTCGCGGAGTTCTCGCAGCCGGAACGATCCTTGAACGTAGTAGCCGCGGCGTTTTCGGCGGAAGGCTTTCTCTCTCGAGGGGAGACGATCAATAAAACGAGCGGAGTCGGACGCGGAGTCGGACGCGGAGTCGAACGACGGAGGCTTTGCGCGTTTGCTCGCCGCCGCGAGTCGTTCGGTTCTGGCCGGGTTTCACCTCTGTCGGGCGAACGAACGCGCGAGGACGAGGACGGAACACGATGAGATCTAGGTTGCACGGACGAGCCACCGATTCGCTGTTCGAAGCCGCGCGCGCCTTCGCTCTTCTCCGTGTTACGACTCGGCTGATAAAGCGTGACTGAAGCGCAGACGGCGGTCGGCGTGGCGTCGTTAGCGTCGCTCGTCGCCGTCGTCCCGGAACGCGACGACGCCGGCGTCGCCGTCGGTGGAGAAGTCGCCGCGCGCCGTCAGGGGCGCACTGTTCGCTTAGCCGGCCCGCCGCTACGCTTATGTACCAGCGAGTCCCATTTATGTTCGCACGCTTTTTAAAACGCAATAACTTCTTTGATATTGGAGCTAACGATTTGATTTTTTTTTGGGGTGATAGAGGGACTAGTATGCTAGACAATGATCGAAGCACTTTGTTACAATTTTGCTATTACTTGGAACGACAAAACGAAATAGGAATAACCTAAAATTTTTAAAAATAACCTAGCGAGATCTGCAAAACATATTTCTTAAATTTTCTTATTTTCTTAATCTTTTAAAGTTAATTAATTCTTTTCATTTAAAAAAATTTTTTTACTTTCCTTTGTCGTTCCAAACAATAGCAAAATTTTAAAAAAGCATCCTAGTTATGGTCTAGTAGACTGGTCCCACTATCGTTTATTTAAAATATTAACGGGAGTCACTGTATATCCTGAACAGGTAGTAACTCTGACAAGACGGTGACCGGGTCAATTTTGACTCGGAATATTTAAATAATTCACTGAATTTCACAATGTTCGACAATTAAATGAAATAAATTGTTATTGCACTAGGAACAACAAAAAGACAAATAAGTCCGCCAGAAATATCTTCAAAAATACGTCTTGTTAACTCGTAATTGTTATAAACATTTATAAATTTTGTTACATATTCGAAAGAAATTCTAAAAATTGACATTCTATAAATCCTCGTTGCATACATATTGTCAAAATTCTTATTGCCGGTTTTGCAAGATATTAAATATTTACTGAAAAACGAGCTTTTTCAAAACTTCGCTGCTTTTTCTCCCGCCAGGCGTGTAAGCGAAGGTCGATCTGTGACCCGCGCAAAATGTGTTAACTCTGAACCCCGTGCGCCGCGTGCGACACCACGCTTGCTTGCGACACACGTTTTATCGAGTCCCGTCGCAAGAACTCTTTGGGAATCCCGTTTGGAGTATACGAGACTGACCTTCGCGTTTCGATAAATGCGTAGGGTAGCCTCGTGCTTCACCACCGATATCGCGATATTCTCGTTGCGAACGCCTCTTTTCGGGCGGCCACGCACTCACGCGCAAGTGGAACTTGTAAACACAGTATTTTCGACTGTCTGAACCTGTCGTGACCTGATGTTAACGCATCGCTTCGATTCCAATCATCTCGGCATTTTTACTGTGCTGTTTAATCGTGTGTTTTCGTTTCTTTTTCAATGAAAAAGTGGAACAGATTTTTTAACGATCGATATCAATTTTATTCGATCATGTATACACGTTGAAGAACTAAATTGCATTAGTTCATTTATTTAGAGTAATTCGTTTTATCGACACATCATTTATTTTATTTATATATTGCAATTCGTTTTATTTACATCACTTATTTTATTTATTTATCAAAATTCGTTTTATTTACATCTATTATTTTATTTATATATTGTAACTCGTTTTATTTACATCAATTATTTTATTTATATATTGTAATTCGTCTTATTTACATCAATTATTTTATTTATTTATCATAATTTTGTTTATATACTGTAATCGGTTATAATTAAATGAATGAAAAAACTACAGACGCGGATAACGAATAAATATGGATAAATTACGACGAGTGCGAAACATGATTTTAATTTCTTATTGCTTTCCAAATGTAATTAAATGGGAAATATGTATATGGTTTAACAACAATTCGATCTTTTACTATATCGAAATCAAATTTCACGTAATACATAATATTATTTTCTTACGATCGTTTCTAATTGCATTTATGTTTACCAACAATTCGCTATGATTCCAGCGTATATTTAACTTCGCTATCGTTGTCAAAGTCCTCTTATCGTCACACCCGAAGCTACGAGCTCTGAATCTATTTTTTACAGTGACGATTAGGTGATTACTTACGATATCATTTTAGTTAACTACTCTAAATATATTTATCATTTCATCATGGATCTGACCTTATCGTCTAAACCATATTTTTGATTCCCTGTCCATTTACATTCTTTAGATAGTCCAGTTAACTTAAATAAAACCTTTAAGAAAACATAACAATTAAACACATTAATATTAATATTTAATTTAAATTTAAATTTTAATTAAAATAAGTTAACGTTTAGCACGTAAATATCGATGGAGAATGAAAATTTCTCAAGCCTCGTTTCTCAGTTAGGCTTTTATTGATTTTTAATTGAAATCGGCGAGAGAATCGAATTGAAAGAAAAACTTTTATTGTCCTCGCGTCGCGCAATTACCTTGATACGGCCCTGGCTCCGAGACGCGGGAACAAGTAAAAGTTCAAATAATTGGTGTACGCGCAGAGAGCACAAAGTGAAAGGACAAAGCGAACGGATATGTAGTGGAATAATTGCAAGAACGCTTGAACAAAGCTAACAGCGTGGTAATTTTTGCATGAATTGATGTCGAATAGGTTTAGATATTTATAAGTGGCATAATTTAATACACTAGCGTTTCTGTTTTTTTTTTTTTTATAAAGTTCATCGTGAATCGAGAAGAAAAATTAATAATAAAAATGTATATAATTAGAGCTGCGATATGTTGACACGTTGGACAAATGCTAGATACCTATGTACCTATGCACATATACATATATGCAATATCATTATGTATACATAGAATGTTCCAGAATTTCTCGAACTCGAAAACACCGAACCGAATGAATTGCCGAAAATCGAATCATCGGCAAAGATTTTGTTGTTTCGTCTGAAGATTATTTAATTCTGCCAGTCATTTATGCAAATGGATATTTAGAAATGCAAACACACGAGGCAGCGTATAATTTCGTTGCCTATATGAATAATACTAACTATTTATCGGCGACATTGTCGGAGATTCCTCGTGCTGTTGTTATTACAGCAGCAGGCAATGGAAAAATAAAGAGGATTGTTTACTACTCTAACGTAAGAGATAAATAGTAAGTTGTACGAATAGATTAACTTTTATCATTTTATCACGCACAATTTCGGAATTGTAAACAAGATTGATGTAACATCCTAACGATGTAAGCATCGTTAAAAATATTCCAAAAATGTTTCGTAAGTATCATAATGTAATTGAATTATGTCTGGGCTATAATTAACATGGTTAATATTGATACACGCTGTTGCCATATAGTAATCGACAATAGCGTTGAGCGAGACGGAACTATAAATAATGCTGTTTCCCCTGATCTTCGCTTGCAACGTAACAATAATAGATTTTCAATTGGTTCATATCCTCATATTTATATTCCAGGTAATTTTATTAATTGTCGTGCAGACGCAAAGAAGCATTTTTTCTTTTTACATGGAACAGTGAAATGTTTATCACAGCTGTGTTTCTGAGAACGAGATACATTGAAAAAAATTTATGATCCTTCAAAGTATTTCAAGACTTTCGATATTACATACCTATGCTGGACTCTCGTTATCTGCGCTATTCCTATTCATACTCCTCGATGACTTTGCTATTAGCGAAGAACTTAAAATATCTTGCCCAAGAATGCATAATAGAGACGCCGGAGAAGGTGAGGTTATGCTGCACAACTGAATTTTATCGCGGCGATCGATCTTAATACGTCTCAAAAACATCGCGATAACGTCGAAGAAATGCTTTCAATAATTCTCGCCATGCATTGTTTAGGAAACATTCGAAGGAACTGCGACACTTGTTTTAATTCCAGGCTCTCGATACTCGATGAAACTGACGTTGCAGTTCGAACGTGAAATCTGTTTTACCGACGAAGAAAACAAACGAGTATTCAGTTGAAAAATAAAATGTGCCGTAAATGTTATCGCATGTTTAACGCTGTTAACACATTGTGAAATGCTAATTTCACATTCTTGCGTTTCTGCTGTACGCCAGAAACACGAATACACTTGAAAAAAGTCGACACGGTGATTACGAAACAGCGTTCCCAGCGGTGAAAACAATATTTACGTATTCTTCCAGGAAATGCGATTCGAGGTTTTCAAAGTCGCCCCCTTGTTACATCGACGCGTCCACGTGACGACGAGCGACGGTGTTCTTGAACGTACAACAATTACCGTTGGTGAACGGATCGTAGCGGTAGAGAAAGAACTGGCCGATCCAAGGATTGATCGTAATCGTAATATGTATCACAATGAATGACTTACTCGATCACGGCCAACAACGTCGCGCGTATAAACTATTATTAGAAACATTATTAGAATATACAGGGTGTCCCAAAAATGTCTCGCAATCCGGAAATGGCGGGTTCCTCGGATCATTTGAAGCAACTTCTTCCTTTACAAAAATTTTCTCCGAGGCATCATTAACGAGTTATTAACGAAATACAGTGACCAATAAGAATCGAGTACGGCTGACGCGAGACGGCTCAGCCAACCAGCGTACGAAGCCCAATTCCGCTCATTGACTCGGCCGCCTTGCGCCAGCCGAGCTCGCCTCTCATTGGCCACTGTTTTTCGTTAATAACTCGTTAACGGTGCCTCGGAAAAAATTTTTGTAGAGGAAAAAGTTGCTTCAAATGACCCGAGGAACCCGCCACTTTCGGATTGCGAGACATTTTTGGGACACTCTGTGTAATATATTCTATATAATATTATGTAAGATAGAATAGAGAATAGAATAGAATAGAATATAGAATATATAATATTATATATAATATATAATAATATATAATGTTATTAGAATTAGAAACACGTTCGAGTAAAAACAATTACCTTCCAAAGTAGGGAGTCTTCCAATATTTGGTTATATTTACAAAAAATCTTTTGGAACCAAACTGAAGTAAAATTTTAATATGAGAAATTTAATATAGGAATTTACTATCATTACCTGGGAATTTTTCATTTGCACGCGAACTCGAACAAACAGGTGCTGCATGTAGGTCGTAGATGGATTTTGGTTTGGTAATTCGATGTCTGCCGACTACGAGTGAAAATCGAGGCCACAGACGGTGTATTGTCATTGATGATTCTCGCTGTTTCATGAAAAAACAAGATTTATGGCTTCGTATTAAAGATTTAATTTGCATTTCAAAATCAATGTCTCTGTCTCAAGGAAAAGCGATACTGACTGTATAATTGTTATCGCGTCGTTGCGTTAAACGTTATGAAAATTCATTAATGTTTACGTATCGCGTCGAATTATGAAATGTGAACTTGCGGGACTGTGTCATAAACAAGTTGCGTTCGTGGTCATAAAATATAATATCATCCCTCGTTTGTTCGAGGGCATAAAAGAATCCTGGTTTGTTCGCTCTGCTTCCAGAATAAAAAAAATTGTAAGGGTATTGTCGTTGAACCCCTTTCTTTAGCATAATTTTTTCTTTTTTAACAATGTTTGGTTATTCGCAATAAACCAGGGGTCACAGTATTGGTCAGAATAATTTATTGCTTCGATATTGTATGAAAAACTCAGTTATTTCGTTAAATGTTCAAATCATGAGAAAATACTATTTACTACTTACACTTGGATTCATGTATAGAAAATAAATTCTATTCGAATAAATATTTCTTGCAAATATTTCTGAACGCATGTGTATATGTTTACACGTATTTCTTGTGTACATGGTACTATAAAAAGCTAAAGGACAAAAACCTCTTATTTGCAGTACCATTAGTTGCAATACCATTATTCTAAATACTGTTCTATGAAATATTACTATTTGATAAAATATTATTTTCCTATATTTTAATGAAACGCTTACTTTACAATACTATTTCCATATGTAACTACACACATGAGAATGTAAAAATATTTAAATTCTATTTACTATTTCTCCCCAGCCCTGAAAAAACCAAATGGCAACGCTAGAAAACATAATTAAATTGCCTTTAGAGATTTTGATTATTTACCACGATAATTAATTATGTGTTGCGGTGATGTTATCTGTTTTTCTGACACGGTATCGACGCAGAAGACTGTCCTAAACAATTCTATTCTCTTGGTTAATTGTTTTTTGCCCTAATTATGCCATAATTAGTGTTTATCGGTAGTCCTGCATTGAGCAGATGTAAGCGAGCACGGCGCCTCTCGCGGCGAAAAACTGAAGCTCCGTTCGAGATATACTTACAGCGTCAAATTATCCACAGTCGATCTTGTCTAACAGTTTGGCGTTGTACGGACATCGTGCGGAGCTTCGGGATTTCGTCGTAAGTGGCGACACGATCGCTGAATTCGAAACGATTAAATCGAATGTAATAAATAAGCGTGCGCTATTTATATATATATATATTTTTTTTTTGGAGCAAATAATCATTTTTAACACGGTTTAGAACTGTATTGATAATTATCATATTCGAAACAAACAGAAGAAATTACAATTACATAAAGAGAATGCCCAAACAGTTACATTATACTGATTAATTATTAGGCTGCGGATTTTTATGTAAAACGAAGATTGCCTGCATCGATTATAAGACACAGAAGCCACGGAAACATTGATTTCTTTTCTCAATAATTTTAATAAGTTGCAAATAATATTATAATATTACTAAATTCTCTAAATTCTTGAACAAATAAATAAAATCGGCGGTCTATTAATTACTGTTTTAAAACAATATACCACCAATTATTAAATTCTCTAAATTCTTGAACGAATAAATAAAATCGGCGGCCTATTAATTACTGGTTTAAAACAATACTCGACCGATTAATAAATTCCCTAAATTCTTGAACAAATAAATAAAAAAAAAATCGGCGGCCTATTAATTACTGTCTTAAAACAATACACGACCGATTAATAAATTCTCTAAATTCTTGAACATATAAATAAAAAATCGGCGGCCTATTAATTACTGTTTTAAAACAATATACCACCAATTATTAAATTCTCTAAATTCTTGAACGAATAAATAAAATCGGCGGCCTATTAATTACTGGTTTAAAACAATACTCGACCGATTAATAAATTCCCTAAATTCTTGAACAAATAAATAAAAAAAAATCGGCGGCCTATTAATTACTGGTTTAAAACAATACACGACCGATTAATAAATTCCCTAAATTCTTGAACAAATAAATAAAAAAAAATCGGCGGCCTATTAATTACTGTCTTAAAACAATACATGACCGATTAATAAATTCTCTAAATTCGCCAACAAATGCATAAAATCAGCGGTCTATTAATTACTGTTTTAAAAATTTGTCGTTTAATATCTTTCCTTTCTGTGACAATTGTTAAAGCAATCACCTACATAATTATTAAAGCATGCGAGCGACCATTAATATGTGGACGTGGCTGTGTTCGTTCGATAAAACCTCCGTGCGACAGACAAAAGGAAGGACAACGTTCAACGGTGTTCATCGTCCTACTTAACACAATCGCGGCACGGAAAAAGGGTATGCAGAATTCAATGAGGAAATCGCCTTAAACACTCTTTCATTAGCGCGGCAATTAATATACGCAAATTACCTTATCTGATTTAGACGGCTTGTTGGGCGAACACCCGGAGGTCTTCAATCATGGCTCGTTGTTCCTGCATTCTACGGAGAAACGTTTGCATTGTTCAAGATCGCGGATCGTTTACTTGCGAATCAGCCGGCTGAACATAACGAGAAGCACGCATTTCGGTCTTCATGCCGTAAACGATAATATTAGATCGAACGATAATTAACGCTCGTAAAGCGCGACGAACAATTATCGAATTCGGATCGTATAACAGTCGCAACATAATTGTCGGAGAACAGGTGCAACGATTGGATCTTCTAATATTAGAAAACGCTTTTAAATTAAACGTTAATTTAACGTTTACGTTAAACGTTAACGTTGGCAAATTTGAATTGACGCGCGCAATTAACTTCTGCGTGTAACATTCGAGCAAATGCGATATGCAAAACTAATGAGAAAAGGGATTTTTGTTGAATACGCAGTTTCTGTAATTTATTTTCATGAAAAGGTATGCAATTGTTGTTAAATTAAGATCTATGAATTACTATGGTCGCCATAGCGTACTTTTTACTGCGCTTTTGTTTATCACTGGACTGCGGATTTTACGCGTTTATGGCAACATTAGGTGGTTGGTAAATGGAAATAGTAAAAATATTGAAAGAATTCTGAAACGTTAGTAGGAATTGTTGATAATCGATTGGAATTATTGAAGAAAGTAAGAACGTTTTGTTTAGATTCTTGCAAATATTTATTTGCACAATATTTATCGTGGACAATATTAATTATTGGAGACAATAATTGGACGATGTTTATTTCGCATGAAAATCCGCGGTTCAGTTGT